CACATATGTATTTGGAGTAATACTAATGAAATTGATCACGGGAAGAGAAGCTCTAGACGAAACAAACTCGGAGGATAGTTATTATCTCGTGAGTTGGTTTCAGAGGGTGCTTGTCGACACACAAAACATCCAAATGGCTATAGACCAAAACCTTGATCTGGAGGAGGGTGAAAACCACGAGAGCATCTTTTTAAAGTGGCTGAGCTGGCGGATCACTGTACTGCAAGGGAGCCCGTCAAGAGACCCGAAATGGGACATGTTGTTACCGTCCTCAGTTCACTTGTCGAACAATGGAGGCCTTTTATAGCTGAAGATGATAAGAGCTATGACGGCATTGAGCTCCGCATGAACCTTTCTGAAATGCTTCAAAGATGGCAAGGTGGTGAAGGAACTTCCAGAATGTGTGGCGATGACTCGGATTTGATTATATCAGTCAACACCTCATGAAAGCAGTCGTATAGGTCAAATGCCCCTTCGAGTTTCTTGGTTAAGCACTCATCCTTATGAGTCTGCTCCTCTTTTTATTCATCAATCCAATTCTGCTGCAACTAAAATCTACAACTTTCATTGCAAGGTGATCGAATTATATGTTTTATTAAGGGGCACAGTTCTGTTGACACTGGCAAACAATATACAATATTACTAGAAGTGCCACTGTATTTTTAAAGCATCTTCGGTGTTCTGTTCGAAAATTTGAAGGTTCCAATCCTCCTGATCCACCCATAAACACCCCCCGTCCCACCCTAAGTCCGCCTCCAAGTGTGTGAACCAATTATATGTAGACTGTTTAAAGTTAGATTCTATTATCATATGGTTTGTTATTTGAAGTTTTTGTTTTGGCTGCCAAGTTTTTTAAAGAATTATCAGTATTGTATTATTGATTTTTCTATGGTGGCCATACAAATTTATGGGCGTAGATGCCCTTACGCTCAAAACTTGACATGTGATTTTGATATTAACCCGATTACCGCATGGAGTAGTAACCCATTAATACTTAAAGATTCAAAAAATTCAGCAGAAAATTATTTACAGGTGACGCAAGTTTTGTCGAAATAACTCTCAGGCCACTCTATTTTCAAGAAGACAGCTGAGGTCCTTATGTTTTGTTGTAATGACTGGGAGGGGACATTTCATCCAATATGTCATCAAATGATTAACTCACCAAAATTATGAAGGGACAGAAGCATTAGCCGTTCCGATGCATTTGATGGATTTAGTTCAGCTCTTCCTTGTCTTTCTTCTTCATCTTCTTCAAAACATATTGAGCATCGCTCAAGCAGTGGTACATGAGTCAAATCCAATTTTATCTACAAAATCACACAGACATATATATGTGTGTGTGAGTAAATCTGCAAAATTTCTTCTGGAATGGTTTTGAATCCATCAAATTAATTTCTGAGTAGTAAATAAAATTGAAATAGAAAGAAGAAGAAGAAGATGCAAAAGCTCCTGTGGCAAATTTCGTTAAACTTACTTCCACCTTCTTCATCGATCTTCCTCGTACTGTCTTTTGCAAGGGATCTTCAATTCCTCAACTCTTCATGGCTCTATAAGATGGGAATATTGTAGGCAATAAGAAGATCGGACGTTTTGGGGGGAAGCGGAAGAACAAATATGAGGTTTTGACGGCATGTGAAGAGTAGATTTGAGGTTTTGACGGTGTTGGAGCTCGGAAGAGCAAATTTGACGGCGGCAGAAGAGTAGATTTAGCGATGACTTGGTGGCAATGAAAGCACGAGGTCGGTGGCGGAGGGGCATAGTATCGGAAGAGAGAAAAAATCGAAAGTGAAAAAAGGGTAGATCTACTGGAAAAGGAAGAAGAGAGAGATGATAATTGAAAGAGGAAAAATGCTAGGGTGGAGAAATGAAAATAAAATAAAATTATACAGTGGAGAAATGAGTTGTGGACAAATGGGGTACACCAAATGGTATATCCTTAGCATTCCTCTTGAAAGAGAAATGTGGTGGTTGTGGTGGAGAAGGAGATAGACATTTACCAATATCAGTCCAAATTACTGTGTCAATCAATATTTAATGGCCCAGGGGACACGTGAAGATGTTTTCTCTCTTCATTTGCAAATGCTCTACACGGTCCTTTCATTGGAGGAGAAATTGGAGGAATATAAGAGCGGACTCTTCTCTAATTTATACAGAGATGAGAACGATTTTTTAAATATTTATTAGTTTAGATGAGAACGATTTTTTTAGTTTACGATGGGATTAGATTGACATAAAATAATCACTGTATTCATAAATAGTAATTTGTTTACATAATACATAAATTTATCATTTATGGCAAGTTTGTATATTTTATAATTAAAATGTTTATGAATATATCATTTCTTGAACAATATACATACAACATTGAGTTATACGTAAAAAAAACACCAATGTCATTATTATTATAAGGGTTAATAGCATGGTCACCCCCTGTGATTTACAAAAAGGGCGTCAAAACCCTCCCTGTGGTTTCTAAATAGAGCACACATGCCTCCCTTACCTATTTTTAAAGCAAAAATGACATTTATGCCCTTTGTTTTCCCCGATCTTGAATTTTTCCGATTTTAATTTCCTTTATTATACAAATATATAAAATAAAATATATGCTTCCCATCTCAAATTATAATTTTTCATAATGTACTTTTGAAAACAAAATATTTTTTGGAGAATGTTACAAAAAAATGAAAAATAAAATATTATGTACAAAGTAAAAACTAATAACAGTTAAAAAAATTAATGAAAAGAAATAAAAATATAAAAAATAGTCTTTTTCTTTAACTCCTTAATTTAAAAAAGAAATATGAAGAACAGAAAGATGAAATAAAATATGGAGTTACATAATGTTTTACATTTTACGTAAAACGAAACAAAAATTTAAGTTTTTTACATTCATTTTATTTTTAGATTTGTATAAAAATAAAAAACAAAACTTACACATTTTACACATTTGTGGAATTATATACCTCAATCTCTTTACGAAGAGTGCCCCTTTGCTAATCTCACAAAAAATGGTTGAAAGTGATAATTTTATTGTTCTTGTTTATTGGGATTCAAAAAATGGTTGAAAGTGATAATTTTATTGTTCTTGTTTATTGGGATTTTGAAAGTAGTATTGTTGCCAATGTAGTTCAATTTTCCTTGTTAATGGAAACAGAGCCGTCCCCACAAAATGAAAAAATAAATTTGGTCCGGTCCTAAATTTACATTTTATGCCCTATTTTATTTTTTTAGAATACTTTTCCTTTAAAATTATTAACAAATTTAAAAATATATGCGGTTGGCCACTTTGCACACCTTTTGAGCCACCCACGAATGGAAAAGAGGGATTTTTTTCTTCCCGCCACATATCTCCTACCAAGAAGTTAAAGAAGCATTTCTGAGTGTCCTAGATACAAGTCTAGCGTGTATGTGGCCTCTCGTCCCTTGCTTATTGCTGACGAATGTTCGTTTAAAGGTTTTATTAGAATGATCTCTAAAGAGTATGACCAAATCGAGGTATACGCGGAGGCCACACAAGAAAACGATGAAGAAGAGGAAGATGAAAATGAACAAGAATAAGAAGATTCGCGTCACTACAAGAGTGACAAATCTCGTTTACTATAATGAAGCGGGGCCCTCACACACGACACCTCAAGTGGATTTTGAGAGTGGCCTGGATGACCTTACATATAGAGGAGTCCTTGTGGAAGAGGAAGAGGACACCACCTCTAATGATGGCTCGGTGGTTTCTTGCGAACTCTCCACCATGACCCCGCACCTAGAAGACATACAGAAGTACGGTTCCTAGTTGGTCCACAAAGAGAGTACTACACATGCAACTATAGGTCGTTTTACATATTTAGTCCTTACATATCAAATATTACTAATTTAGTTCCCAATTATTATATCATTTTTCACGAATGGTCCTTTGTTAATGTTTTTGTTAAGAACGTGGATAAAATTATATATTCATACTTCTCCTCTCCTCAATGAAGTTTTCTCCCTCCTCTCGTACTCTTTCTTAAACTCGTCGCTAAGTTTGAAGCTCTAAACCCAAAATTGAAATGATCATTACTTTCTCAATTATTGGTCTTCCTGGTGAAACTTAAAATAAATCAAAACCAATAAGCTTTATAGATTAGTTTTATCGGTTAGTCTCAAGAAACTGTAAAGAAAACAAGCATTAAAATTCATTCATGAAGGTTACTGGTTTCGAATATGAGTTCAACCAGTTAGATAAACAATTGAGAGAAGAGTGATGATTTCGATTTTGGGTTCAAAGCTTCAAACTCAGCAACGAGTTTGAGAAATGTGTGCAAGGGGAGGGAAGAAGCTTAATTGAGGAGAGAAAGGAGTGTGAAATTACAATTTTATCCACGTTCTTAACGGAAATGTTAACAAAGGACCATTCATGGAGATGAATATAATAATTATGGACTAAATTAATAATATTTGATATGTAGGGACTAAATATGTAAAACGACATATAATTGGGAACCTTTTATAGAATTTACTCCTATTTATTTGTTTACTTTACAAAAAAAAGTTTACTCTGTTCTTGTTTACTTCAAGAAAAAAGATCCAATCTTGTGATTAACTTTTTTTTTAATAAAAACAAAATCCAACTCTAATGCTTGGTGCCCCTAGTGGCGGTTCAAAATAATCCTTTGTAAGTACTCCATCCGTCCCGAAATACAATATAATATTCCCTCACATTTTTGTCCCAAAAAGAATTACAAAGTAAATAACTTTACCAGGAATTGACTCTTGTACACTCCCACTCCTACACTATTCACACACTATTCATCCATGTGAGTGGGAAGGATGGGGGATTTGGGGGTAATTTGGGGAAAAAAAATTTGATTTGACTCTTCCTTAATTTCAACAAAAAGGAAATATTGTAATCTAAAATGGGACGTAGGGAGTATATAAAATAAAATATGCTATGGTAGTACTTCAAATATACACCACCTCCTTCGTTACCTGGCAGGATAAAGATTGGATTGGTTGCTTTGGGCGCGAACAGTTATCTCAGATTCTCGGTTATCCCATGGAGGGTTTCACGCACAACGCATCCTCCCAGTCTCCCACTATTTCAAGCACATCACTTTCTAGAAACTGTTTGTGTATAATTTGAAGAAGAGGGAGGGGGCTGAGCATTAATCTGATTGAAACGAGAAGACTATAAAATTTGATTGAAGAAGAGGGAGGCGGAATCACGATCTCACCACGTCAAAGGAGTATATTCCTAATTGTTTCCGTTTTTGTTCCTCCTACACGCTCTCTGCTTGCAACTCGCCGGAATCCATGGCAGGGGGCTAGAATTTGAAACCCTAACCCCGACATCAACGATCTCTCCTCTCCGACCGTCTGCTTTCCAATTCTACTTCCATTCGCCCGTACAAGAAGAGACGAAGGACGAAGGTGCTCATCATCTTACGCCGCGTTTACCCAGCGACAAATATGCATATGCAAATTTCAACATCTATTTGTTCAATTTTTGGTAATGCTTCTTTAGTTCCTCTCTAAAGTAGTCAAGAACAAGAGCTGTTGATGTCATGGCTTTGTTCATTTTACATCTTGGCTACAAACATTTTTCTACATTGTAAACATCATGGTATTTATGTTAAACAATTTCTTTCCTTGGATTTTAAACTGAAAGAATGCTTCAATTAGCTAAAAAAACATATACTTTCAAATTCTAACCTCTAGAAGCAATCAATCTTTCTCTTAATTCTTTCATTTTTGCCACTTGAATAAGGGGATGTTTAGAAGTTCACAGGATTGGTATGTCATTGCATAGGACCACAATGCTGAAATTGAGCTAGAGAGAGCCAAATTGGGAGAGATTTTCTTCCAGGACAATACTCTCCACTAATTTGAACTTGCGTCATCTCCTCCAATGTTGCTTTTTGTGGTAATTTTTCTTACTCTTGAATTCATTTTTTTGAATTGATCTATTTTTAAATATGTGCTTCTCAAACAACCTACAGAGTATACTGTTGAATTCATTTTTTATTCCAAATTCAATGGAACTATTATGTGATTTTTAATATTCTGTGTAAGTATAATTGCTTCTCCTTCATTTTTAAAGAAGCTCCCAACAAATCTGTTCAGAGAAGATATAATTTTAAGCTTTATATCATTTTAAGTAATTTCTCAAATTGCTTGGATACAGCTCTAAAGAACCCTTTAATGAATTTCTTTATCTTAAAAGTGATCCTGATGCTATTCCCATTAATAAGAATTAGTAAAAGGGATATACATCTGCTTCAACTAGAGACACATCAATGAAACTATTGTTAATTTTTACTATATGTAAAAGGAAGAGAAGTATGGCAAAGATTTTCCAGTTCACATTAAGGAACAAAACTTATTTATTACAGTTACAGAACATTCACACTAGCTGAAGTATTAAAGGTTTTCAAGAAAGTACTAAAAGTTACTAACTAATGCAATACCTTTCTCAGAAGCTTTAGCAAATAGCAAGTCTGCAAATGTAAGCATTACAGAAACCAAATCCAATCGCCTGCCTCAATGTGGTGTCATTGCACTCTCCTTTGATCCTCAATAGCGACACCATTTAGGTAAACAAATCTGTAGTTCAATACTGTTAGTGATGTAAACCCTGTAAATTGTTCGTACTTTGGTGTTTCTCTTGATTCTTTGTGCACATATTCGGAAGAGGTTTTTAGGTACAATGATTTTTGAAATGAGAAGGTAGGAATATTTTAAGTGCTTTTAGGTTGGTGAAATCACGGGCAAGTTTGAGAAGACATCTACCTTAAACATAACATACTTTATTTATGTCTCCTGGCCTTGATTTAAATTTTATTTTGTGAAGCATTTTTAAAATTTTTTAGGGTTGGAATAGTGACTTAGAACTGTTTATAGATCTAATTTAGATGCAGTATTTTTAGATTAGTGTGGCATTGATTGTAACAAGTTACCATTTGTAACATGCTCCATTCATTAGATGTAGTAAAGTAGTGAGCTAGAAATGCTACTGTTTTCAATAGGCTCCAGTTTTTAGAAGCAATATTTTTTCAATTAGTTAGGCATTGATTGATACATACATTGTCCTCCTTTGCACATCCTTATTCATGTGCCTCTTATTATTTGAAAGATTTAGCCCTTTTTTGCTCTAAAAGAGGAAGTGAGTGCCAAAAAAAACTAATCATAATATAATATTTTCTCACATACAAGAAGCCAACAACTTTTTCTTAAGTACTTTTGTTTACAGGTTTTCTTACAAGATACTACGTTTATAAGTATTGCTGCAAAAGATCAAAGCTTATTTTTCTTCATTCTCTCTTTGGGAACAAGAAAGACAGACGTTTCTTAAACAGTCCCTATCGCATGTTGGCATGCTACTTAAAAAAGTCTTTAGCCATTGCCATTGCCAACTGTGCATGGCTATCTCAATGTGTGACGGATCAACAATGATTGTAGATCTTCACTTGCGATGAAGAAAACAATGGGTACTTAGATCACACTTGAAATGTTGTACATAAAGAAATTTCTAGAATTTACTTTTTTTCAACTTTTTTTATCATGCATGGTTGATTGATGAAAATTAGTACAAACATTAGTATTATCCAAATCCTTAACTATTGTGTGTCAAGCGGAGTAGAGTTATCTATAAATTAGTAATGTCGTATTATTGTATTGTACTCCGTACATAACTTATTAGTCTGTATTATTATTATTATTATTATTATTATTATTATTATTATTATTATTATTATTTGGAGGTCTGATAAGTCCATATAAGCCGTCTTATTCATTAACAAAATATTATTATTGTTGTTGCATTATTATAATAATATTCTTACCGTGCATCGCACGGTTGAAATTTAGTTACTAATCAACGGCCCAATTTTACTTATGAAAAACTGCACAAATCCTGACCACAAATCATAATCAAAGGCCCAATCTCAATTTTGTAAAAAATAGACTCATCTAAACCATTGATTTCAGACCCCAAAACATAGAGCAATGTTAGGGGTACACCCCATTTGTCCCTATCCCCTATTCCACTATACATTTTTATCTACTTTTTATTTATTTAATTTTTTTAAAAATTGTTGGTTGGAAGGTGGATAAATGCGGTACGTACACTACAACTACATTTTTTCCAAAACATATCACGATTCATAACCGCACTTCCACACTCAAACTCCTCCTGCGAAAAACTCCCCTGCCAACCTCCATCCCACTTCCCTCCGTCGATCTTACATTGATCTATCGGAGCCAACGCTTACGAGGAGTCGAGGATTGCTTAATTAGTCGCTTATTTCATCTGGATAAGTAATCGCTAGCAGAGGAGGAGGTAAAACTGAGGAAAGCTTCAGAGGAAAGCCTCCCGGCGACCACCCAACCGGAAGCCATGAACAAAGATTCGCTTGGGTAAATTGACTGTCTTAGGTTCGTTTTTCTGAATCCGTGTTTCATAGCCTCGACTTCAAACCCTTATGCTTTTGGAAGCTATTAATGTTGTGACATAGCAATTCATAGAACTATTGCTGCCTCTGGTGCATTTTTTTTTGTTATTTTTTTCTTATATGTCAAACCTTAATGCTCAACCCAACTACCCACCAAACGCTCATGAACATTCAAAGAAAAATAAAAAGTTACATTTCGTAGAATTCTAAATCATTCCTTTCCATATTTCTCAACTTTTTTCACACTCAGTAAGATTTGATTTTTCCAATATGGGTGCAGATTTTTCTGACTTCATTGCCAAGAAGGTATGCCCTCCAAGTGTTCGACAATTTGTCCCAATGCTAAATCCCTAGAAATATAATTTGGTGTTGTGCTATGACTGTTACAAATTTAAGAGTCCAACGAGTAGCCCAGAATTACTGAATTTATAACCTCTGCTTCAAGTTTGCCCTTACTAAAAAGATGTATACAAGTGTTCCATATTAATTGATTCATTGTAACATTGTTTAGGAGTGGGTGTCTTGCATCATATTTGTTTATATTACCTTTTGAGATTACTATCGTGTTAAGAATTTATTTATTTATTTATTTATTTATTTATTTATTTATTGTGTGTATAGGTTACTCAGTTGTCTCCTTCAGTGTTTGCCTATCATTCTGGATTCAACAGTGGGTTCAATTGTGCCGAGGCTGTAAATGTTGCCCCTGTGGATTGGTTAGATCAAGGGCAAACAACAGTTGAGCTCTACAGTAAACAATATCGCAGAACTTCACTGTTGCATGATAAGTTGCTTTTGGGTGCCGCAAGAAAAGCTGTCAGGGCACTATCGGAGCTTTTTTTCTTGAGGAAGAAAACCCAAAAAACTTGAGATGGAAGAGTGTTTGTGGGCGGAGTGGAATACTAGCAGAAGCAATCAAGGTAACAAACTTTGGATGCTTAACTATGTGTTTTTAAGCATTTAATGTTAGAGCAGTATGTTTGGTTCAAGGAATTTGTAAATGAAAAAGAAAGAAAAAGATATGGAAAACAAGTAGCTATATATGTGAGATCTGTGATGGTGGACTGCTTGGACTTTTATTTAAGGTAATCCCATTGCACTTTACTATTAACATATGGACTAAAGAAGGAAGGGGATGTGGTAAGGTGTTGATGTGTGACCTCAACGGTAACATAAGGTGTGTGTTACATTATAATCTTATGTCCCTACGCTTCCTCGGAACCTTGCTAAGCGGGATGCTTTGTGCAATCATTTATTCTTGGTGTTTTAATTTCTTAGTCACAACAAAACTACAGTACATATTTTTCACACCTGTTGCAGGATTAGTAATTGTAGAAAAGTTTTATAGTTTACATTTGAACAACAAAAAATACATTGTAGTTTTTTGGAGTACATGTATAACTTGATTTTGGTACTGTAGTTTTTTTGTGACTTAGAAATTATCATAATTTGACCTTGCAATATTTAAAAATATATGGAAAAATTAATATTGAATGGTTGTATTTTGTATAAAAAAGGATATGATATTTTTCACGTTACTTTGTAATATAAGACAATGAATATTATGAATATCTTTATTAGATCATGAATGTTTTTTAAATATCTCAAATCACCTTTATGATGTCCATATATTTTAAGATTTGAGCAGAGTAAGTCAAAATTTTTATTTCTAAAATTTAAAATTGTGTTACAAGATATTACAGAGTAAAAATAATTTGTAAAAAAAAGTTTTTATGTGTATGTTAAAATATATCTTGGACTTACAATCACAAATTTCAAATTCTGTTTAAGTTGGTTCCTTAACATATGTTATTATCTCTGTATTTCAAATTCTGTTTAAGTTGGTTCCTTAACATATGTTGTTATCTCTGTATTTCAAGTTTTGTTTATGTTGGTTCGTTAGCATATGTTATAACAGTCCACTTTTAATTTAGATTAATTGATCTGATGGTCCAATTTCGAAAGGAATTTAGTTGTCATTTATTATCCTAATTTCTTGCCCAAATGTCTCAACCGACCCACGATCCGCAGGACTAGGGCTTTTGGGAGGTTAGGCCGACGCCTTTTCAAATGGAAAATTCTCTTTTGCTTCCAAGCCTGATTTCGGATTGACTTTTTTTTGAAAAGTCATTGCGTGCAAGGCCACTTTTAATTTAACAGATTCAGGATAATAAGGGGCAAATATCCTTTTCATCTTAAAGTGAATAGTATTCAAACCTATTGATAGTATGGACCCGATTTTGAAACAGTTGTATGTTGATTTCAGGGGAAGTGTGCTAAAGTATCAGCTTTGGGGAATTTTCAGCAGCCACTTAGAGCTCTATTGCTATTGGTCAAGTATCCAGTAGGGGCAACGTATCTGGTGAATCATTCTTGGTGGATACTAAAAAATTTGTATCTGAATGGGATAGTTATCGAGATGAGCAGCATTTTGGGGCCTTTCTTTCATGTCAGTGCTTTGCCGGATAATACTTTATTTAAGCTTAAGTTTGTTGTTCTTACTTTTTTTCTCCTGATTCACTCTTAGAATTGCATATTGGTTGGTTTTTGTTTGTGAGCACAGAGAGCTTATCAAGAAAGCAAATTGATATGGCTTTGATGTTGGCATTGGGAATCATCAGCTTTCCCATCTCCATCTTATAAACTCCGGTAATCCCTTCTAACATCTTTGTAGCTAACTGTATATGAAAGAATGTAGATACTTTTATCTCATTCTAAAACCTTTTGTGTTGTAAATGTGATATGTGACAATATTATAATTTGTTTTTATATGAATCAGTGTATGGGTATGGAGAATTGGTTTAGAGAATCGCGTTAAGTAATTAAAGAATCTGCGTGCAAGGAAGCCAGGGGATGCCGACTAAATGGCCTCTCACTTGCTTCATGGGCACCAAAGCCCCTCGGGTAAGAAATCAGCTCATTCGCTTTTTTCTACTTCATCCTGGGAGATTAGGCATGTTTGAGTTGTGCATTGTATGTGCGGGTATGGTAGGGTAGTGTGCCAACCATCACCATTTCTCTGCTGATAACCATGTTAACTACCTTCCCCTCTAACGTAAAATTTTCCAATTTCAATACTTCAACTATCTAATTTTTTGCCATCAAAATTCACACCCAAATTCAGTCTTTCAAAATTATGAGTTTTGTTTTACTCCATACTTCAGTTTTTCCAATTTCAATACTTAAACTATCTTATTATTATTATTACTTTTATTATTATTATTATTATTATTATTATTATTATTATTATTATTATTATTATTATTATTATTATGAATTTGAACAAAGTGACACTGGCACTTCACGTAACAAATAGTAGTGTTAGATGAGAATTATATGTCAAAAGAGTAATACACAAACTTTCCTTTTGTTTTCTTTAGCCTTTTCTATGTTTTAAGTTACCCATAATTACTTTAATCTTTTGATAATGCAACAGGTCCTATTTCCTATTGGAAGAAAATACTTGGCCACACGCCTGAAGTGGGTTTTCTCTTCTGAATTATGCTTATTATGCCTTTTGAAGCAAATATGAATCCTTTCTAGAGTTATTTTTATGTTTTAACATTTTCCAGCTACTCAAAAGAGTGTGGATGGTCTATCCATGAAAGACAGGAGAAGTGCAAGGGCTATATGATTGAATATCATCCCAAACAACTGGAGCAAACAAGCTATCTTACAAGTCAATTGAATGTTTGCAAGGGTTTAAAGTAATGCATAATTAGTGAGATGGTGGCTGAATTGATTTTGGTGCTACTTTTCAAACATGATTACCTTAGCTAAAGAATGTAAGTATTATTTAAGAAAATGTAGTTTTGTACTTAATTCTTCCTCTTTATTCTTGATATGCCCTTATATTCGTAGTTTTAATTTGTTGATTTGTTAATTGCCAGGCTTGGCATAGGTATGAAGTCTCACACTCAGTGTTTGGCTTAGGTTTAGTATTCATGCTTGAATCCTTTTCATGTGATTGTTTATTATCTTACTAAGATCAGTCCCTTCTTCGTTTACTTCATGATAGAAGTTTGGGCTTTTGACCTTAGGTCAATTTTTGAAAATAGATTCTTAAAATTAAATTGTACCCTAATTATCTTTGTCTCAAATCATATGTAGAGCATATTTTTTTGACTCATACTAACTATTACTCCCTCCATTCAATTTAAGTTGCTTGGTCATTATTTGGGTAAATTTTAGCAATGGTACATGAATTTTCACTAGAATTTTGAAGTAGTACCTAAACTTTAAATCCTTTCACAAAAATACTTGAACTTACATAATCCTTTCATTAAAAGTCCATTTATCCGTTTCCAGGTTAACTTCAGGTCATTTGGGTTAAATTAAAATTTTACATATTTTAAAAATTTTCAATTTGACCTCATTTCTTTTTTTCTTCTTCTTCCCCCTCCCACTCCCTTATTTTTATTCTTTTTCTACTACATCACATATAATTGGAGACAATGGGCTCTATCCCTTTGGCAAAGTTAAACCCGTCGGTCTTGACGAGCCAATTGCAGTAGACCTCGCCATCGCATTGGTGGTCCTTGGCATAAAGAACGACGACATTGTAAACTTGGAGCCCTAGCCAAAATGCACCAATACAGAGTCGTCCTCCACAAGTTGACCTGAAAGTCAAACGAACGAGAACTGTATTCCGAAAACTTCAACAGTCCTGGATTGCTGTCTTTGGATTTGCAGTGCACGAGCAATTCCTTTGGAGGTTGGACCGGATTGTGGGTCGGGATCGCATTCTGAATCACTACCACCTTTTCCTCGTTGGTGCTAATGGCCAGTCCGTGTTGCGCCATTATTGCACCACAGAGGAAGATGAGTTAGAAACTAGAGGTTGATGATGAATGGTGGAGGATGAGAGCTGGGTTTTGAACTCATCATCTTTAGAGCATGATCAATGACGAGGCAAAAATGGAATATCATCTCATATTACTTTTACCTATCACATTAAAGACAAAATTGGAATTGAACTACTCCCTCCCTTATAAAAGAAAAACACTTCCTCTTTCATTTTTTCACTTCCAATAAAACACTTCCACTTTCTATTAAAAAGCTACTTTTACCCTTACTTTTTCACACTTTATCTATCACATCATACTTTTTTCTCTAATAATCTATTTATCGTATTTTACTTTTACCCATCACATCAAGGATACAATTATTGGAAGTCAAATACAATTTAACACTTCTTTATTTTTACACTTGATCAAAATAAGAATTTTTTTTGTGAACGGAGGAAGTATAATTTAACACTTTCTTATTTTTATACTTGTCAAATAGGAAATCTTTTTGAGAAGGGAGGAAGTACAAACATTAGTAAATTTCTGCAAATCCAGTTAAAGGGAAGCGGTATTCTATTACTACGTATTACGGAGTAAAAGGGAAAGAATAATCACATATTGAATGCATATTTTTTTGTTTACTTTTTAAAAAAGATTTACTCCTTACTCGGTCATTGTTTCCTTGAAATAAAAAAGATCCAACCTTGTGATTATTTTTTTGTATATAAAAATAAGATTTGAACTTCTAAGAAGCTGATTTCTTCACATAAATAATTTGATACTATCCGAGTCCTAAAAATCTTTTCTGTTTTGTTTTTCTTTTCAAACATCGATACACTTTGATCACATACAAATAGTGATAAAAATATATTATTTATTGATAGTATAAATTTAATATAATTGGCCGAGTTCATCATAGAATATAGCTTTGATATATAAAATTTTTAATATCATTTATTTATTTAGGTTTTGTTTAATTTGTAGTCAAAGAGTGTTATTATCTGATTAAAAAAGTCAAAACAAGAAAAATCTTTTGACCTGAAGGGAGTAGTTGTTTATCATATATATGTTTAAACCATGTTACTTTTTATTTTATTTAAATTTTGATGTAAAACAATTTATATTAGATATTGATATAAACAATTTATTATTATTGTTGTTATTATATTTATTTTTTATATTTTATGTTTAAAATTATTTATTATTTTCAATTATTATTTGTTTATTTTTTATTTTTTTTATTAAATTATGTTACTACTTTAATTATTTATTGTTTAATACATAGTATTAATCTTTTTCTTTTTTACTTACTATTTTTGAATCTTATTTTTTAATTTTTGTTTAATTATTCATTGATTTATTTGCGTACTGTTATTATTAAATATTTATTTATTAATTTATAATTATCATTAAAAATATTACTACTGTATTATTTATTTATTTATAATTATCATTTTTGTTAGTATTATTATTTATTTATTTTTTATTTAATAATCTATATTATCTTTTTATTAATTTTTTTAACATTTTATTTTTCGCAACATTATTATTTTTGCTAATGACAGAGAAATTGATAGAAAAATGAGAAAGAAGAGATCGTGGATGGGACGTATACTGAATCCCTCCAATTTTGAAGGATTGATTTGAAGGGAAAGAGAGGTAATTAATGCTAAAATTTTAGGTGAGGTCTACTCCATATTTTTAAACCAAACAAGGAGAAAGGATTCAATTTTCCTCCCTTCCCTTTCAAATAAGGATTATGCTATGTGTACCCCAAGATTTGTACCCCAATTTATACTCCGCAGTTTTGCACCAACATTTTGTGTTGGTGTAAAACTAATTTTTGTTAAACGCAACAACATTTGTGTCCGTGTGAATTTTTATTAACGCACCAACACTTGTGTCGGTGTAAACCATCGAAATGTTTGTGCAAATCTGTGGTGTACAAATGAAGTATATTTGTTGGTGTAAGTGTAGCATGGTCCTTCAAATAAAGATCAGAGACCCTAAGAGACTTGTCTCTTTTTCGAATGCAATAGAAAAGACTAGTGAAAAAATCTAGCTCTCTATTTCTAATTTGAAAAGACATACCAAATTAAATTAAATTATTCCTACCATCTATTCCCTCCGTCCCTATGTATTTTTCTACTTTCATTTTTGCACACCATCCAATGCACTTCTTTAATATATTTTATTTTGTAATTTGTATATTAAAAAATTATAAAAATTATATATTAATAATCTATATGTTAAGACAAATCAAACAAGATCACACATGACTATATAATTAAGCATGCATATATACTAATCTCTGCGATTCCATTTATGGGAAGTGGGAGTACTATGGAGTAAAAGGTAATGAATAATTGAATGCATATTTATTTGTTTATTTCTTTAAAAAGATTTAGAGGTGTATTCAATTGAGATTTTGAAGAATTTTTTTGAATTCTAAAAATCAATGGGTATTCAATCAAGATTTTAAAAAATTATTTAAAATTTTAATGTATTCAATTAGGATTTAAAACTTTCTGTTTGAATATGATGGTATTAGAAAAGTCATGGATTTACAAAAAAAAATCTGCAAGTATGGATTTTGAGAGATTTTATAGTGTTATGTATAAATAAGAATCCGTGTAGAAATATCTCATCAAAGAATTTGAAAGTCTATGCCCCTCATGTTCCTCAACGGGTGTCTCCATATCTTCTTGATAATTCCGCCGCAGCAAAGCATCTCCCCAAAGTACCTGGCCGCCATTATCGTTCTTCTCATAATCCTCCTGTTTCCGTCCCAAGCTAGCCCCCGAGTCTCTGAAGAAGAAGATCTTCCCCCAGCTGTGGGAGCTCCTCCGCCTCTTCTTCATCGGCCTCCTCATCTGCTACGGCATCCTCTGCCTTTCAACCTTTTTGATTCCACGGCCGCAGCTCGCCGGAAGTCCGACCAGTATACTGTCAGCAGTCAGATTCCGGACCTTAAACCAATTGGTAGATGTGTGCAAGGGGAAGGCAATCAAGATTGGACAAACTATTTAAGCTTTATCAGTGAAAAACAAAGAAATCTAAGCTTGGCTATGGTGACTAGATATTATTCACTATTTGCGTAGATCCTAAACGCACCGTGTGAAGAGTTGGAGGGCCAGGAAGCAAGAGATGGACATATTATTAAAATCTGAACAAATCTATTAAAATCTATCCAAATTCATTTGGAATAAAAAAATTCATGAATTATAAATAATCAATGGATTTAAACAAATCTTTTAAAATCTCAATTGAATACACCCTCTTACTCCCTACCCGCTCATTGTTTACTTTACTTGAAAAAAAGATCCAACCTTGCGATTATTTTTTTGTATATAAAAATAAGATTTGAATTTCTAAGAAACTTAAATTTTATACTCTCGCTAGTCCTAAAAAAAAATTCTGTTTTAATTTTTTGGTCAAACATCGATACACTTTGACTACGTAAAAATTGTGCGAAAAATATAATTAATTACTATAATATAAATTCATATAAATGGGTTTATCATAAGATACAGTTTTGATATATCAAATATTTATATTATTTATTTATGAAAAATTTGCACTAAATAGGACTAAACATAAGTCATTTTTGTGTATAGTACTCCCTCCGTCCTATTATTAACTTCCCGGTTTGACCGGAGGTGATTTTTAAGAAAGTGTGAAAATTGCATTGACTTTCCCAAAATGCCCCTTATCCTCCAAATTCACATTCTGAATCACAGATCAGATTTATCGCCCTTTAAACAACACAAAATTAAAGTCTCTTGAAAAATGAATGTTGAAACGAATAATTGGAATCAGGGTGCCCAATTTGAAGATTCATCACAGAAAACACAAATACATACAAAAAAAATGAACTCTGGTCGCCGACTCCAAGAGAGTCGAAATCGTCACTGTTCGCATCGATTTAGATCTGAGATATGATTGCTCTCAACATATAGCAGCTAGATCTGCGTGGCAAATCTCATCCCGGAAGCTTTGCTTGGGCCACCATCGAATCGCACTGTCTAAATCTATGAACTCCTTATACGACAATGGAGTCAGGGATGAAGATGCGGCGACCATTGATTCCGGAATGGAGCTTTGATCTATGACCATAACGATGTATAGAGCAAAAAGGGGTGATGGTGCAGACCAAATTAAACACGAAACTTTAAGAGTTGAATGAAGAGATAATAAATGGCAAAGAGGTAAAAGATGGAGAGAAAATATTGGTGCTAAAGAGGTGTGAAACGGTGAAAGAGAGAGATAGAGTTGTTTGGGTGAGTGTTGTGAATTCTGAATGATAGAGAAATTGGGTGGGTATATTTGGTTAGGGGTATTAATGTCATTTGCTTAATAAAAACTTTCCATTTTAAGTAATGGGAAGATGATTTTAAGACGACCCAAAATGGAAAGTGAGAAATTAATTTCAGGACGGAGGGAGTAGTAAATTTGTATAGTTTGTGTCAAGTTATTTGAGAATGTAGTATTATTAGCTCTTATTCAAAACTTGGCACACATAATGGGACCCAATGTCACTAAGAAGTGATTTGTTTCCTTAAAAAAAGGAAGTAATTTGTATTCAGTTTTTGAGACATGGCAAGGGATTTTGGAAAATTCGGCAATGAAAAATGCTTCAAATGATCTCTTAGCATTCAGAAGCTTGAATTTTTAATTGAATTAATTTTTAAGCCTTATTTAAGAAGAACATTTTTAATTAATATTAGCATTTTGGATAAAATATTAGCGGTGTTCGTAGATTAATTCCAAAAATGTTAAAAGTTAGTGTCAGATAGTTTTTTCAAAATATTAACACTAAATTCTAACACTAATGCCAAACCTAGCCTCAACCAATTAAAATAAATAAAACGAAGTAGGTTTGAGGGTTTGACAAAACAATGTCTATTGACCAAATCACTATAGACGAAACATGAATGCATAATCAATTATAGCACCAATATGCTAATCGCGTGGGTATCAATTGGTGGAGGATTTTTTGGTTATCTTTTGGAGTTCGTTCCTTATTACGGAGTATAAGTTTTAGTTTTTGTGGAGTAATACTTAGAGACTTCTCTCCATTGGGAATGCAATTGAATGACAAAACAAATTATTATTTTCTACTACATCACATAATTAAGGCCGGCGCACATAATTGGAGACAATGGGCTCCATCCATCCCTTTGGCAAAGTAAAATCCGTCGGTCTTGACGAGCCAATTGCAGTAGACCTGGCCAACACATTGGTGGTCCTTGGCATAAAGAACGACGACGTTGTGAACTTTAAGCCCCAGCCAAAACGACATGAGTACAGAGTCGTCCTCCACAAGTTGACCCGAAAGTCAAACGAACGAGAACCGTACTCCGAAAACTTCACCAGTCCTGGATCATTGTTTCCTTCAGAGGTTGGACCGGATTATGGGTCGGGATCGCATTCTGGAATCCCTACCATCTTTATTAAATACGGAGTACTATTTAAGAAATAAAAAAACTAAGTTATACATTGGAAAATGACTTATATTTTTATCGTATTTAGTGCAAAACTACAAATTTCACCTTAATTTATACGGAGTACATTAGTAAATCTGTGCAAATCCATTTAAGGGAAGTGGTATTCTATTATTACGGAGTATGGTAAAAGGTAATGAATAATCACATATTGAATGCATATTTTTTTGTTTACTTTTTAAAAAAGATTTGTTCCCTACTCGGTAATTGTTTATTTAACTTGAAATAAAAAAGATCCAACCTTGTGATTATTTTTTTGTATATAAAAATAAGATTTGAACTTCTAAGAAGCTGATTTCTTCACATCAAAATAATTTTATCCTCTGTCCTAAAAATCTTTAATGTTTTGTTTTTTGGTCAAACACCAATACACTTTGACCACATGCAAATTGTGAGAAAAAAATATTATTTAATTATAATATAAATTCAATATAATTGGGTCATTATATTATAGAGTAGAGCTTTGATATATCAAATTTTTATATCATTTATTTATTTAGATTATATTTAATGTAAAGAGTGTTACTGTTTGACAAAAAAGTCAATAGAAGAAAAGCTTTTAGATCTGAAGGGAGTATTTTTTTAAGATATGTTTAAACAATGTCAGTAATATGGATGTAAATAAATTTATATTAGATATCGATATAAACCGGTTATTGTTGTTGTTGTTATATCTATTTTTTAAATATTATGTTTAAAATTTATTTAATATTTTCAAATTATCAGTTCTTTAGTTTTAATTTTTTTAATATATTATGCTACTACTTTAATTACTTATTGTTTAGGATTAATCTTTTTCTTTTTATTTATTGTTTTTGAATTTTATTTATTATTTTTTTTAATTATTCATTGATTTATTTTTATGTATTGTTCTTATTATTTATTTATTATAATTATAATTATAATTATAATTATTACTCATGTATTATTTATTTATTTATAATTATCATTCTTATTAGTACTATTATTAATGTTAATTTTTATTTGTTTTTTATTTAATAATCTATTTTATCATTTTATAATTTTTTTGTAACATTTTATTTTTTGTAACATTATTATTTTACTAATGACAATGATAAGAAAAACTTGATCAAAAAAGAGAAAGAAGAGAGCATGGACGGGTAGGGCGGTGAATCCCCGTGATTTGGAAGGATTAATTTGAAAGAGAAGAGAGTAATTGATGCTTTTAAACCAAACAAGCAGAAAAGATTCAATTTCCCTCCCCTCTTTTCGGAATGCAATTGAAAAGACTAGTGAGAAAATCTAGTTCTCTTTTTCTAATTTGAAAAGACATACCAAATTAAATTATTTCTTCCATCTATTTCATTATTATATTCTACTACATGGCACAAGTGAAATACTGTAGCTAGCTAGCGATATCTAGTTGATCTCTTTTGAAGGTAAAGGTGCATCCGTCCAAGAGGCAAGGAGCTTATAATCGGAGCCAACGGGGTCATCCCCGCTCGCAAAGTAGAACCCGTCGGTCTTGACCTGCCAATTGAGGTACTTCTCGCCTCCGAGATCGGGGTTCTTGGTATCAAAAACGACGACGTTTGCGAACTTGGAGCCCCAGTCAAAACGGCACCAGAATAGAGTCGAGAACCAGAGGTTGACGCGGAATTGGATCGTACGAGCCTCAAACCACGACAACTTCCACGGACCCAGATCGTTGTCTTTGGATTTGCAGTGCACGAGAAGTTCCATGGGAGGTTGGACCGGATTGTAGTAATGTGAGTAAAAATCACTCTAAATATGAGTAAAACATAGAAAAAGTAGCACAATACAAGTTTCCTGTTTTTATTTTCTAAATTGAAGTTCGCACTGTAGTAATGTGACATTGTACGTATGCATTTTCTGTAATGTAGATGGTCATATATAAAATATATACTACCTCCGTCCCTGAGTATTTGTCCACTTTCATTTTTACACACCATCCAATACACTTCTTTAATCCATTTTATCTTGTATTTTGTATATTAAAAAATTATAGAAATTATATATTAATAATCTATATGTTAAGAGGACAAATCAAACAAGATCACACATGACTATATTTACGCTTACACATTGAGAGAATTTGATGAGTCAAATTACTTAGATGAACAATTCCAAAAGTTAAAAGTGGACAAATACTCCGGAACGGATGGAGTAACTAATATATTTAAGGGAGAGTGAATCCCTCCGTTTTGGAAGGATTTTTGACCCTAAGAGTTCTCTATTTTCTGAATGCAATTGAAAAGACAAGTGAAATCATCTAATTCTCTTTTTCTAATTTGAAAAGACATAACAAATTAAACAATTCCTTCCATCTAGTATATCTTATTATTATTATTATCATATTCTACTACCCGTGAAATGCTAGCTAGCTAGTTCTCTTTTGAAGGTAAAGGTGCATCCGTCCAAATGGCAAGGCGCTTATAGACGGGGTTCTTCTCGCTCGCAAAGTAAAACCCGTCGGTCTTGACCATCCAAGAGAGGTCATACTCGCCTTTAAAATCATTGGTCTTGGCATAAAAAACGACGACGTTTGCGAACTTGGAGCCCCAGTCAAAACGGCACCAGAAGAGAGTCGTATGCCAGAGGTTGACGCGGAAATCAAAAGATTGAGCCTCGGACCACGACAGCTTCCGCGGACCCAGATCGTTGTCTTTGGATTTGCAGTGCACGAGAAGTTCCATGGGAGGTTGGACCGGATTGTTGGTCGGGATCATATTGAGAATCTCTATCTCCTTTTCCTCGTTGATGCCAATGCTGACATCGCTAATGGCCTGATGTCCGCAGCAGATGAAGATGAGTAAGAGGCTGATGAAGCTGCATTTTGGACCCATCATCTTCAATGAATGAATGAATCATGCAAGCACATATATGTGTTTATATATACTAATCTCTGCAATCCCATTTACGGGAAGTGGTATTCTATTATTACGGAGTAAAAGGTAATGAATATTCACATTTTGAATGCATATTTTTTTGTTTACTTTTTTAAAAATATTTACTCCTTACTCGCTCATTGTTTCCTTAATTTGATATATATATATATATATATATATATATATATATATATATATATATATATAGCGTTTTCCCGCCCAAATGCAAAACAATCTTAACCGTTGATTCTTAGAAAAAATGAGATCTACGGATGATATATAATCCAGTGTTTTAAGATCGAATAAGGAAAATTATTTCTCTTGGTACCATTAATATAGAAAAAGGTAAAGAATCAACAAACATGGAAATATTGGACCAAAATAAATATGTAATCCACCCTTGTATACAAAATAAAAAAGGAAAGAAGAAATTGTATTTTTTATGGCAACATTTTTAAAAAGTAAAGAATTAACAAACAAGAAAAGAAGAAACCTTTTTTCATGAGAACGTTTTTATGGTAACACATTAAAAAAGTAAAGAATTAACAAGCAAGGAATTATAGGACCGATGCTATTATCATTATTATTATTATTCTTTAAAATTGTGATTACTTTAGTACATAAAATATATTTAAAAATATATTTTTTAATGAGAAATCATTAGAAATAGTAAAGAATTAACAAAAAAGAAATTGAAGACCGGTAGTATTATTATTATTATTATTACTTAGAAAAGCAAAGGAGGATATTTTTAAAATATAGTATGTTTTTAATGCAAACAGAACTAAAAAGGAAAGACGAAACCATATTTTTTATGGGAACAAATTTAAACAATTAAAGAAATAACAAAGAAATTGTATTTTTATGGTAATAGATTAAAAAGGTAAAGAATTGACAAAACAATTTAGACTGATTATATTACTATTTTTAATATTATTGTTTAAAAAAAGAAAAGGAATCTATTAATATTGGGTCTGTTTGGGAATAGCATTAGTGATTATATCATCGTTAGCATTTTGAAAAGACTATCTACGGGCAGCGCTTGAGGTTAGCGTTTTAAAGTAATCTACACCGTTAAAATTTTATCCAAAGCGCTACAATATATGAATGAAAATAAAGAGGAATGTTTATTCTAATTTTCCTTAATAATATATTTATTATTATTATTATTTGTAGAACAGACATTATTAGATAATTGATGGTGTGGTTGTAATTTTCCTTAATAATATATTTATTATTATTATTATTATTTGTAGAACGGACATTATTAGATAATTGATGGTGTGGTTGAGATTGAAAGCACAATTGAATGGTGCTACCTTGGTTGTAAGACATGCAATAGTAAATGTTTTCCAAATGGTTTGTGATTTAAATGCAAGAAATGCAAAAGATATTAATTATCTTGATGGAGTGTAAAGGTTATACTATCATTTAAATTTTTTTAATTAAATAAATATACAATATTTTAAAATTTTAATAAAAATGATATTTTATTTATTAGGTTCAAGGTAAGCGTATGTATTATAGATAACTCAGATAGTGCTTTTTTATTACTTTGGGATAAAAAATGTGTGAACCTTTTCGGTATGCAAGCTTAGCCATGATGAAAATCTTGGTCTCCGAGGTATTGAAATTAAGAAAGGGTTGTAATTGGTTCTCAAGGTTCAAAGATGAAATACTCCATTTTAGCTAGCCCAATTTCTTTTTTAACTCCTTCCTCCCAAAATAATTGTTACCTTTTGCAAAACAAAACAAAATATTAAGTTATTCATTTTATTATTGAAATATTGGTATAGAAAAAAACAAAATTTATATAATCAAAAACAACATGAAAAATTTTCTAAATAAAAATTGTCAAAAATATTTAATTATATCAAATAATCAATAAAAACGTAGGGCACAATACATCGCAGTGGGCTCACATGTTCTTTTATTCCATGAATTCTAATCTTGCTCAACAATTCTTGACAGAGAAACGAAAGTAATCCAACATTGAGTGATGCACGATTTAATCTTTAAGTAAAATTTATCGATTGCATGAAAAACTAATTCAAAATTATACTTCATTCATTATTCATTTATAAATATCTATTACTTCTTCTCTCTCTAAAAGATTATCAGAGTTTGACTTTTTTTGTCAAATTGTGGCACATTTTGACCGTAAATTATGGAAGATGTATATTTAGTTATAATACTCCCTCCGTCCCTAAATAAGCTTCCTCTTTCGTTTTTTCTTTGTCCCGAATAAACTTCTCTTTTCACTTAAAAAACCTCTTTTACCCCTTACTTTTTCATACCCTACCTATCACATCATACCTTTTTACTAATAATCTATATATCACATCTTACTTTTACACATCACATCAAGGATATTTTTGGAAAGTCAACACAAAAATATCCCTCTCTTAAATCTTCAAAAAGTCAAAAAAGGAAGTTTATTTTGGGACGGAGGGAGTATAAATTTTGTAAAATTGAGTTTATTTTAAAATATAGTTTTGAAATATTAAATTTTTATAATGGTTATCTATTTTAAAGTATATTTAATTCGTGGTCAAAGGGTGGGATAATTTTATCAAAAAAGTCATACTGGCAATTTTTTACGGACAGAAGGAATATGATTTTTTAAAATACTCCGTACATTAGACTATTTGCGGTTACTAAATGATGGAATAAAGCAAATTGAGTCTATAAATTATTTGCGCTTCTTGTAATTGTGAAATACGGAGTATTACGTAGTAGTTAGTCAATGCAACTTTTGACGCTCATTATGAGTAATATGGGAACAGTCGCTCAACATTTTAAATATAGGGGTCAAACTTCGTACACCTGGCTCCACTTTTACCCTTATTTTTTCATACCTTACCTATCTCATCATACTTTTTCTCTAATAATCTATCCATCACATCTTACTTTTACCCATCACATCATGGGCAAAATTGGAAATCAACTATAATTTAACACTTCCTTATCTTTGTCCACTTTTGACTTTTGAAACTGTTCATCTAAGCACTTTGACTCATCAAATTCTTTCAATGTCATGTGTGATCTTGTTTGATTTGTCTTAACATATGGATTATTAATATATAATTTCTATAATTTTTTAATATATAAATTAAAAGATAAAATGGATTAAAGAAGTGCATTGGATGGTGTGCCAAAAGATAAGTGGACAAAGAAGTGGGACGGAGGGAGTATATACTAGCTAGACACTGACGGCACATGGCTGGAAGAGGGGGGAGGTGGCGCCGGTTCTGGCCAAGTCGCCGGCGATAGGAATAGTCGCCTGACAGGTGACGTGGAGATGGTACCGGTTGGAGACGTACCACCCGACCCGCCATTTGACGCTCCCAAAGATCTTGATGTCGATCTCGGCCTCGCCGACTTGTTGGTCGGGAATGAGGTGCGTGCCGGTGTCCGTGTCCATGGGGTCGTTGTTCCCGTAAAGGGGAAACGACCAGACGTCCTTGGCGCGGACCCCCTGGGACACCGGGGGGAGATGGGTGTTGTACGTGATCCGCCGGTCCCGGTAGGTCGCGTACACCGTCGCCTCCCCGTAGTATATCCCAATCCGCCGGTTCCGGTTGTGGAAGGCCAGCTTCACCTGCATTCATTCACAAACAAAGTTAAAACAATTAAACATCACTTCATGAATATGATGAATTACAAATCATAAACAACATCTATATATACATCCCTTTGCGTTTTTTATTTCATGGCTACTGACCAAGAAAAAAAAACAAGAAATTAAAATTGAAAGTTGTAAGGACCATGAATCTTCGATTCATTTTGTAATTTTAACTTACTGTACGTGTAGAAATTGATTTTTTTTTCTTTTTGCACATTTATTCATTCTAAAATAATGTCTAGACTAGATGTCTAACATCTTATACAGTATTTGACTGTTATATGCCTTTATTATTTCCAATTTTGCCCATAAATGACAATTTTTTAAAAAAAAAAAACTGAAATGAACTAAAATTATAAAAAGCGCAAATGAGGAGAAGTAAACAAACAAAAAACGAAATTAATCCTCTTCCAAAAAATAATACTCCGTAATAACAATAGCTTAATAAAAATTGATAAAATAATACTCCGTAAGAATAGGCGTAATTAAAATTGAAAAAATAACAACAATAGCGTAATAAAAATTATTGGAAAAAAAACTAGAGAATAGATCTGAAGTAGTGAAGGCTGAAAGCTGCGTCCCTTTTTTAAGTTTTTATTTTTTAAAAGAAACTTTTAATTTCTACCGAAACCTAATAATGGGCTAATTAATGGGTTATTAGTATAAATGCGCTAAAAAAAGACGACTACTATTATGAGTACGAAACAAAATTCAAAAGAAAAAAAAATATATATATACCTCCAGATCCGGGGAGAAGATGTGCGGGATGGAGAGGTTGAGAGCCCGCACGGTGGCGCTTCGGACAATGAAGCTGGGCTTGTGCGGCTGGAGAACGGCCCAGACGATGACGAAGCCCACGAGCAACACGGCGGCGAGGTTGACGAGCCGCCAGAAGAGGAGCCAGGCGCGCTCGACCCACCTCTCCCGTCCGACGTCGAACCACCTCGTGATGGCCTCCCAAAGGACTTCAGAGGGACGGTCGTTGCCGGCGTGGCGATTCTGCCCATCCATTGTATATGAACACCGATCGAGCTAAGGGAGGGACCGAGGGAGTAAATATAAAACAAAAGGGCTAGCTAGCTAGAGCCTAGAGACCAGAGATATATGGATATATAGAGAGAGAGAGATCAGATGGGGAATATCTGGGAGACAACATGGGGTTAGTTGTACTTTTTAAGGATGCAGGGAACCATTTTGAGAAGGAGGAATTGAGTTTTTCTTCTTCTTCTTCTTCTTTTTTTTTGCTTCGCTTAAGGATGCAGGGAACCAGCTGCTATATACACTAGGCTTTCCCGCTAGCTGTTTTGGTTTGGATGGGTAGATTATTATAATCCCTCTCTCCACAAATAAACTTCCGGTTACTCGTTACGATATTTGATTGAGTTTATTTTTAAAATCATTTTACATGAATTGAAAAATGGTGTGAAACTTTAAAATAAAAATTACATGTTGAAAAACTATACCAAAAGATCTACAAAACTAGAGGTGACATGACTATATTATTTTAAGAAATAGATAACGAAAATAGGCGAACAAAGTGAATAAATTTTGACGTTGTAGACAATGAACAAGAAATTTATTTGTGGATAAAGGAAATATAATATAAGCTCAATACTTAAAACAAATGCAGGTGCCTGATAAGTGCCTTATGTAAGTTGGGTTTTTTGAGCAACAACTCATGAAGCTCGTCAGTGTTTCAAATTTTAATTTTAATTTTAAGCCATGGACACACGCTCATCAAAAGATTTTTTTATTCTGATTTTCGAACGTAGGGTTCGAGTCGGGCAGCAATTAGGGGTTTAGCAGGAGATTTGAAGAAGTAGGAGTCGTTAATTTTTTGAATGGAGTACCGTGAGACCACGGATCGTCAAGCCTCTTTTGTTTTTAATGTGTTTATTCACTTTTTTCAAAGTTTTTCATACTTAACAATTCCATTCCATTCCATTATGCGCGTTAATATAACTTCAAGAAAAAATGAATCTTCAAATTAATGAATTCCGCTCCACGATCTGCAATAGTTACATTTTAGGCGACACATAATAGCCACACATTTTGTGGGGGGCTTACGGCAGGGTGGGTGGGGGTGCAAGGGCGGGGTAGGGTGGGGGTTTAGGGGTGGGCTAGGGGCGGTAGGAATCGCCAATTTTACGAACGAAGCACCGTACCGGAAGTACCCAAAATGACAGTGGCACCGGAGTGTCACCGTACTCTGGTGTCACTAGAACCGCACCGTCCCTAAAGTAACTTTTTTGCAAAATTATGTATTTTAACATGGAACCTAGTGTAATAAAAATAAGATTATGTTTTTTCTTAATTATTTCTCATTTTTGCTGTATAAACGATTATTTTGACACAAGTTTTTAGGATATCAAAGGTGATGAATTTTTAATTATTGTTTTACTATTCATTACATTATGCACGTTAATATTTTTTGGTACTTAACATACAATTTCATTGCATAATGCACGTTAATATAAGTTTTAGGCAAAAATCAAACAAACTTTAACTTCAATTATGAGCTTACTTTGAGCAAAAAAAAAAGAAAGAATAAACCTAATTAAAGAAATCTGATTTTCAAACGAGGGAAACGAAAACTAATTTGTTTTTTTGTATATATATATGTGCTTATTAGTCTTGGCTAGGGACTGGGGGGTCCATTGTTTTTGGGACGGGGGATTCCTTCTAAAAAAATGCAAATATTTTTATTTCATTAACTATTTAGGATTGAGTGGGATCCATGGAATAATATCTATATATATCTATAGTAAGAGCAAAAGTAAAATAACTAGGTAAAAAGAATTAAGAATTACCCCATGTTACAGATACTTCTTTACAGAAGAACCCATGTTTCGATACTTTTTTGCAGAAGAAAGAAAATAAAAATAAAAATTTTGAATCAAGAAAATAAAATTGTTTTTCTCCTCTTATTTGAATATTTTATATTAGGGAGAAATGAAAATAATTTTATTGCACCTCATAATTAATATACTCCCTCCGTTCCACAAAACTCTTCCTCTTTCGTTTTTTTTTAATTCCCTAAAACACTTCCACTTTCTATTAAAAACCCACTTTTACCCTTACTTTTTCATACCCTACCTATCACATCATACTTTTTCTCTAATAACCAAACTATCACATCTTACTTTTACCCATCACATCAGGGGCAAAATTGGAAAGTCAACCAAAATTACATTTTCCTTATTTTTGACCAAAGTCAAAAGTGGAAGGGTTTGAAGGAACGGAGGGAGTAGTATAAATGAGAATAGTTACTACTCCGTATTTAATTTAAATATTTCTCCCATATCAAGAGGAAAAGTGGTGAAGGAAAAATAATGAGATACGACTAGTATTTTTCATCTCCGTATTTAATTTTTTTATTTTCTTTCCACTCTTATTTTATTTCTCCTAAATTTTCTTTCTTTGGGAGGAGTTGTTTTCCTTAGTCTTAACATCCACATATGAAATGTGAATCTTTTCACAGTTTTAATGAAATGACAAGTGAATATTTTTTCTTAAGAAATCACTCTAAATATGAGTAAAACATATGAAAGAATTATGAAAGAATAATTGGGAGGAAATTCTCTCTGGATTTCTTGTGTTCAATTTACAAAGTAGACATGTATATATAGGCTCTCACAGATTGAGAAACCTAATCACAAAAGGAAACGAAATCAACCCTATACAAGGAAGCTACCAAAAATAATATATACACAAATATCTCCAAATATTCTACCAAATATTTTCTTTCCTTTAACACCTCCCCTCAAGTTGGAGCATGTAGTAACGAAATGCCCAACTTGGGAAGAAGAAACTCCAAACGTGACTTTCCGAGTGCCTTTGTATGAATGTCTGCAAGCTGATGCGTAGTAGGCACATGAAGTGTACGAATCTCTCCTCGCAAGAGCTCATCACGAACGAAGTGACAATCAATCTCAATGTGCTTCGTGCGTTCGTGGAAAACCGGATTAGCAGCAATGTGAAGTGCTGCCGTGCTGTCACACCGGACCGTCATGGGGTTCTTATGCTCAACCCCTAAACACCGCAATACATTCTTCAACCACTTCAACTCACATGTAAGAACCGCCAAAGCTCTATACTCTGCTTCAGCAGACGAGCGAGCCACCGTCGACTGCTTCTTTGTTTTCCATGAGACAGGCGAGTCTCCAAGCTGCACAAACCACCCTGTCAGTG